TTGCATAGCTTCTCAGTGAACTACGGCTCTGTGAAGTAAATGCTGCTCCATCTGAAAGCATGTGAAAATACCACATATAATAACATATTTTTACTAGGGATGCACGATATATTGGCCACCATATCGGTATCGGCCGATAAATGCTCATTTTTTTCTGTTATCGGTATCGGCCCGGTAAGAAAATTTGGCCGATATCTTAACGCCGATAAATAATGCATTATTTCCTTCAGAGACACTTCAGATGCGCGCTGTTCGTTTGGAGCCTTTTGTGCAATTGTACGTTGTAATATTGTTTTTATTTGATGTATATCTGATTTATCTCATATGGAATGCGTTTGGTTAAGTTAAAAGAGTGCTTCAGTTTACCGGTGATCATCTTTAGCTCAGCGCACGCAGCTCAAACAGCAGTGCACAACATTAATAACTATGATTGGGAATGTCGTGTATATAACATTCTAATGAGAACATTATTATAATAAAACGTTGTGAATTCTTTGGGTTTAGTTGCTGTGTTTCAGCGCGTTGTTATGGGAAGAGCGCATCCACAACAGGATCACACATTCTGACTATAGCACGCAATAACTGCGTCATTTTGTACATATATAAGTTGTAATATTATGTTTATGTTGTATTAATATTAATCTCAGGATGCATTTCCTTGAGTTAAATAAGCTGCCAGAAAAACGCTTCAGTTTACCGTGTTCATTCAGCTCTTCAGCTTCAGCACGCGCAGCTCAAACGGCTGCTATTTAAAACAGTGGTATTAATTTGTTACTTTTTCAAAATCATTGATACATTATTAATAATAACAACCACTTTTATTTTTCTCTTATTATTTTCATCAACAATATGGTTTAGTAATTAAAATCATTTAATTATTGTCTGTGCAGAGGCTATTCCGTTTTATTGATCTATGGCGCATTCATTTTGATTTTTTACACGTGTAATGATGTCCAGTGACTTGTTTGCATTATTTATGCATTATTTTATTTATTTGTAAGACTTTTTTATGACTAAATTTGGTAATGGGAGAGTAAAATTATTTTTAAAACGTACACCGTTCAAACTAGGCTGCTTATGTTGAAGTGTTTGGGATGTGGCTTTTAATGATGAGACCTTTTTTGTAATCAGGCTCTCAAAAAGTATATAAAAATTTGGATATAGATTTATCGGCCAACATATCGGTTATCGGCTTTCAAAAATAAAGAATTATCGGTTATCGGTATCGGCCAAAATTTTCATATCGGTGCATCCCTAATTTTAAATAATTTAAAACGAATAAATATTTAGTCATATATGCAAATATTTAAATTAACCAAAAATAAAATTAACAAAAATAGAATTAAATTCACCAAAAATTTAATTAAATAATAAAAAAAAAAACTACGTTAAAATGAAAAACAAAATTGAAATGTTGGTGTTACTCAGGGTTATTATAGTTAACAAAAATTAAAACCATAGAGAAAGAAAAATGAAAATAACTCAAATAAAATAAGATTAAATATTAAACCATTATTTAAGCAAGTTGCCAATGCAACATATCTCATTTTACTGTACTAAAATAACTATAACTGAACATTTTTTTTATAAAAAACTACATGCATATAAACATATATACATACATACATGCATTTATACATAAACTACTAAATATATAAAAACACAACTACTAAATTACAAACTAATTCAATCTAATTAAATCACATCAAAATTACTACAACTAAAATAAAAATGGAAAATATACAAATAAAAACTGATCCAAAATATGAATAAAAACTAAAATAACACTGGTGTTACGGAATGTGCTCTTGAATGTACAAGCTTTATAAATTAAGGAAGGCCTTTGTATATGATGATCAAAAAGATATAATATACAATCTAACACAGAACTCCATTGCATCCATAAAATGTAATCAAACTACAACAGCTAACTTGTTAAAAGTAACGTGCTAATATTTCTCCAGATGACAGAAGTGTCATCATTGCACAAAAGACAAACATGTGATGTCACTCAAACATGACTTCAGACAAGCTGTCTCTCTTTAAGACTGGCCTGTCGTCATAGCAAACATTCGGCTGCCTGGCAACCGTAAACCAGTGAGCATAGACTGTCTGAACCGAGTCCAGCACACACACACACACCGGCGGTATTAACTGACAGGAACGCTGAGACACATGACACACAAGTCAGAGGAAATGAAAGAAGAGACACCAACAACTTAAGGTTCAAAGGTCTTCAAGGGGATTTGGCTTTATAAAACAGTTACAGTTGAAGTGAGGAAAGCTGGTAAATGAATAACCATTCAGAAAAATTAATAATACATCACAGCAAAAAAAATCATTGCTTATTGCTCTCACAATTGATTCCTGAGGTGTTAAAGATGTTTTAAACGGGACTATCTGTTTGGCAGATAGTCTTCATTCATTATGTTTGCTAATTGTTTGATGGTGCAAAAATTACACTTTAACTATAAAGTTGCCAGGTTAAAGTCAGTGTGTACTCAAGATCACGTTTATTCAGGATGGTGATGAACAGGTTCTAGAAAAAGCAAAACAAGTTACTTCTACGATAAATGTCTAGCACACCCTCCCAGAACATGTTTTTGTTTGAAAACTTGGTGAGTCAACAGTTTACGATTCCCACTTGCCATCTGGAATCCGCCCTAAACCTCCGAAAGAGGAGACAAATGGGAAAGAGACTGTAGAACAAATAAAACGGCAAACAGTCCGTCTCAGGTGTTGATAAGTGCATTTATCTTGTGATCGATTCTTTAGTCAACAGACACAGGAGAATCCTTTCAGTAAATGACTTCTCATTCATTTCAAATTATTTCCTGATAATTCAAGTCACTGCTCTTTTTTTAAATTAAAAAATATATATATATTAATAAACATTCATAAACAATTAGCAAACATAATCAAACCCACATCTCATCTACCAGGAACAAAAAGGCATTTAATTTAATCTGGTCAAAGTATAATTTTATTTTAACCCACATAAGCTTTTTCGAAAAATGGTTATTATTTTGAAGTATTATTTTTGCACTTTGCACAGCCA